GAGGGAGGGAGGGAGGGAGGAAGGAAGAAGAAAAGTGTCTCTTAGAATCTAATAGCTGCATGAAGTCTAATAATTTCAGTGAGCTCTAAAGATTCTTTCTCATGCTATTCTATAAATTTGTTTTTAAAATAATATTAATAGGCAAAGAATCCATTTACCTTAATGTTATTATTCAGTCTTCTGAAATTACACTTACCTAATATGTTTGTAAAGGAGCTCTGGTAGCGTAATGGTTATGAATCGGGCTGCGAACCTTAAGGTCAGCAGTTCGTAACTACCAGCTGTTCCACGGGAGAAAGATGAGGCTTTCTGCTCCTGTAAAGATTTACAGCCTCGGAGTACAGGGTCGCTATGAGTCAGAACTGACTCCACAGCACATAACCACCACCACCAAAATGTCTGTAAGCTAACATAGTTGTCAGGCTAAAAGGGCATGTATACAATAAATTAAACACGTGGAGAACAATGAAAACAGAAAATGAAGATGCAGTTTAGATGTGTAATGTAACAAAAAGTACTTATAATAAAGCAAAGGTTACTATACGTACTGTAACAGCATTTGATTTTGTTCCATTTCATCTTGAGGTTGCTAGGAAGAGAAAAACAGTAGTTGTTTTTGTTTTCTAATTGATAAATACCAATTCAAAGCAATTAGCAAAAAATTAACATTTAAAATCAGTCTTGTGTTAATTTTTCTTATTAGCTTCCTTCTATAAAATAACTTGTCAATCAGTTTCCAGCACTGCAGTGATTTACAAGTTGCTGGGATGATGAAAGCTCTGCCACTGGTATTTTAAATACCAACATGGTCACCCATGGTGGATAGATTTGAGTGGAGCTTCCAGATTAAAACAGACTAAGAAAAAGTTGAGGTGGACTACTTCTGTATGGTTAGCTTCTGAAAGCCTTATGAATAACAGTGGAACATTGTCACATCCAGTGTCGGATGGTTGGGAGGCACTCAAAACACAGCTGGGAAAGAGCTGCCTCCTCAAAGTTTACCAAGATAACACGCATGAAGTAAAGTTTTCAGGACTTTCATTTGCTGATGGGGTACAACTCAAAATGAGCAGAAACAGTTGCAAGCATCCATAACTAATCAGAACCTGGAATGTATGAATCTAGGGAAATTGGAAGTTGTCAAAAATTAATTAGGACCCATAAACATTGATATTCTAGGTATTAATGAGCTGACATGGACTGAAAGTGGCCATTTAAAATCAGACATTCATATGGTTTACTATGCTGGGAATGACTTCTAAAGAGGAATGGCACTGCCTTCACTGAAACAAAGAACATTTCAAGATCTATCCTATGTAAAATGTTGTCTGTGATAGGATAATATCTACATGCATACAAGGAAGACATGTTAATACCATTATTATCCAAATTTACGCACCAACTATTAAAGCCAGTGATGATTAAATGAAGAACAATACCATCTGAAATTGATCAAACATGCAATCAAGATGGTTCAATCATAAGAGGAAGGGCTGGTTGGTCCAAAGTGTGGTGAGACCTGGGGACTCCTGAACCCATGGACAAGGACATTGCCATGGAGGGCTAGACCTGAGGGTGAAGCATCCAGCTAATATGAAGTGAGGGGAGATGCACAAGACTATCCATTCTTACAGATAGTACCCATTTGACCTAGCCTCAATGGCTTGATAATTAGAATGAGACTTAAGAGGAAGATAAAAAAAAAAAATTCAATAAAGGACACAGTATAAATTGTTACAATTTGATGAACTTGACCTATACTTATGGATGTAGTAGCTCAAAATACCAACTGAGAGAGAAGAAATGTTTGCATCAAGTATCAATCCTATCCTCTCTACATACAGGGTTGATAGGAATGGGCAACTTAGACATTGGCTACCTAAAATGGGGGGCTATAAAGGCAGAAAGTGACTGGCTTACAAGTTTTCAAAAGGGAGTTTAGTTTCAGAGTGTGCAGGGGATGGTAGAATCCCCACTGAATAGTTTTTATCTTGGCTAGACAGTCTGGTGAAAGGCGATGGGGATAAGATTCTTATGATTCAATAGTGAATAATTGTTACCATGACTAATTGCGACTGTCACACCTGTAAAGGTAAAAGTTTTGTAACAAAAGAGGGGGGGTAGTTAATCTTACAGTCCAGAAACAGGGGACCCTAGGACCATCAAGGGAGAAGAGCACAAG